GGGAAAAGAGAATCTAAGGTGACACCCTAGGCTCCCACCTAAGGACGCGGCCTAGAATTACATCATTTTCTAAATTTTTTTTTTGTGATCCGCTCCGTTGATATATGGGAAAAGTGAATCTAAGGTGACACCCTAGGCTCCCACCTAAGGACGCGGCCTAGAATTACATCATTTTCTAAATTTTTTTTTTGTGATCCGCTCCGTTGAACTTTATCTACACGTTCTTAAACCCAAACACACCAATTTTAGGGTGAACCCGTTGTGTTTTGACCATTCGTTGAGAACTTGATCTACACATTCTTAAACCCAAACACACCAATTTTGGGGTGAACCCGTCGTGTTTTGACCCTTTATTCACTCGCTGTAATTTTAACGGTTTCGAATGAATAGAACTTTTTACACGGCTCAACGAATGGTCAAAACATGAACCCGTTGTGTTTTGACCATTCGTTGAGCCGTGCAAAAAGTTCTATTCATTCGAAACCGTTAAAATTGCAGCGATTGGATAAATGGTCAAAACACGACGGGTTCACTTTGGATAAATGGTCAAAACACGACGGGTTCACCCAAAAATTGGTGTGTTTGGGTTTAGGAATGTGTAGATCAAGTTCAACGGAGCGAAATGTAAAAAAAAATTAAGAAATGATGTGATTTTAGGCCGCGTCCTTATGTGGGAGCCTAGGGTGTATATATATATATATATATATATATATATTAGGAAAATTGTGAATCTAAGGTGACACCCTAGGCTCCCACCTAAGGACGCGGCCTAGAATTACATCATTTCCTAAAAAATTTTATGCGATCCGTTCCGTTAAACTTTATCTACACGTTCTTAAACCCAAACACCCCAATTTTAGGGTGAACCCGTTGTGTTTTGACCATTCGTTGAGCCGTGCAAAAAGTTCTATTCATTCGAAACCGTTAAAATTACGGCGAGTGGATGAAGGGTCAAAACACGACGGGTTCACCCAAAAATTGGTGTGTTTGGGTTTAAGAATGTGTAGATCAAGTTCAACGGAGCGGATCGTAAAAAAAAAAAGGGTTCGAAACCGTTAAAATTGCAGGCGAGTGATAAATGGTCAAAACACAACGGTTCACCCAAAAATTCGTGTTTTGGTGTTTAAGAATGTGTAGATCAAGTTCAACGAGCGGATCGTAAAAAAAAAAAGGAAATGATGTGATTTAGGCCTCGTCTTAGGTGGAGAGCCTAGGGTGTCACCTTAGATTCACTTTCCCTATAAGGGAAAAGTGAATCTAAGGTGACACCCTAGCTCCCACCTAAGGACGCGGCTAGAATTAATCATTTCCTAATTTTATTTTTTGCGATCCGCTCCGTTGAACTTTATTACACGTTCTTAAACCAAACACACAATTTTAGGGTGAACTCGTTGTGTTTGCCATATCGTTAGCCGTGCAAAAGTTC